AAAGGAAGTTAAGGAGAGCCATGATCACCTACCAAACGAGCTTGTGTAAATGGATAGAAGAAAGACGTTTAGGGAGGAATGATTAAAAGGCAAATCTTACTAAGAGATATAGAGGAAAGGAAGTTAAGGAGAGCCATGATCACCTACCAAACGAGCTTGTGTAAGTGGATAGAAGAACGGCGTTTGGGGAAGGATGATTAAAGACAAATCTTACTAAGAGATATAAAGAAAAGGAAGTTAAGAGAGCCATGATCACCTACCAAACGAGCTTGTGTAAGTGGTTAGAAGAACGGACGTTTGGGGAAGGATGATTAAAAGACAAATCTTACTAAGAGATATAAAGGAAAGGATGTTAAGGAGAGCCATGATCACCTACCAAACGAGCTTGTGTAAATGGATAGAAAAAGACGTTTAGGAGGAATGATTAAAAGGCAAATCTTACTAAGAGATATAAAGAAAAGGAAGTTAAGGAGAGCCATGATCACCTACCAAACGAGCTTGTGTAAGTGGATAGAAGAACGGCGTTTGGGGAAGGATGATTAAAAAGACAAATCTTACTAAGAGATATAAAGGAAAGGAAGTTAAAGAGCCATGATCACCTACCAAACGAGCTTGTGTAAATGGATAGAAGAACGGCGTTTAGGGAAGGATGATTAAAAGACAAATCTTACTAAGAGATATAAAGGAAAGGAAGTTAAGGAGAGCCATGATCACCTACCAAACGAGCTTGTGTAAATGGATAGAAGAAAGACGTTTAGGGAGGAATGATTAAAAGGCAAATCTTACTAAGAGATATAAAGGAAAGGAAGTTAAGGAGAGCCATGATCACCTACCAAACGAGCTTGTGTAAATGGATAGAAGAAAGACGTTTAGGGAGGAATGATTAAAAAGCAAATCTTACTAAGAGATATAGAGGAAAGGAAGTTAAGGAGAGCCATGATCACCTACCAAACGAGCTTGTGTAAGTGGATAGAAGAACGGCGTTTGGGGAAGGATGATTAAAAAGACAAATCTTACTAAGAGATATAAAGGAAAGGAAGTTAAGGAGAGCCATGATCACCTACCAAACGAGCTTGTGTAAATGGATAGAAGAAAGACGTTTGGGAAGGAATGATTAAAAACCAAAATCTTACTAAGAGATATAAAGGAAAGGAAGTTAAGGAGAGCCATGATCACCTACCAAACGAGCTTGTGTAAATGGGATAGAAGAAAGGCGTTAAGGGAGGAATGATTAAAAACGACAAATCTTACTAAAGAGATATAGAGGAAAGGAAGTTAAGGAGAGCCATGATCACCTACCAAACGAGCTTGTGTAAGTGGATAGAAGAACGGCGTTTGGGGAAGGATGATTAAAAGACAAATCTTACTAAGAGATATAAAAGAAAGGAAGTTAAGGAGAGCCATGATCACCTACCAAACGAGCTTGTGTAAATGGATAGAAGAAAGACGTTTAGGGAGGAATGATTAAAAGGCAAATCTTACTAAGAGATATAAAGGAAAGGAAGTTAAGGAGAGCCATGATCACCTACCAAACGAGCTTGTGTAAATGGATAGAAGAAAGACGTTTAGGGAGGAATGATTAATTGGCAAATATTACTAAGAGATATAGAGGAAAGGAAGTTAAGGAGAGCCATGATCACCTACCAAACGAGCTTGTGTAAGTGGATAGAAGAACGGCGTTTGGGGAAGGATGATTAAAAGACAAATCTTACTAAGAGATATAAAGGAAAGGAAGTTAAGGAGAGCCATGATCACCTACCAAACGAGCTTGTGTAAATGGATAGAAGAAAGACGTTTAGGGAGGAATGATTAAAAGGCAAATCTTACTAAGAGATATAAAGGAAAGGATGTTAAGGAGAGCCATGATCACCTACTAAACGAGCTTGTGTAAATGGATAGAAGAAAGACGTTTAGGGAGGAATGATTAAAAGGCAAATCTTACTAAGAGATATAAAGGAAAGGAAGTTAAGGAGAGCATGATCACCTACCAAACGAGCTTGTGTAAGTGGATAGAAGAAAGACGTTTGGGAGGAATGATTAAAAGGCAAATCTTACTAAGAGATATAAAGGAAAGGATGTTAAGGAGAGCCATGATCACCTACCAAACGAGCTTGTGTAAATGGATAGAAGAAAAGACGTTTAGGGAGGAATGATTAAAAGGCAAATCTTACTAAGAGATATAAAGGAAAGGAAGTTAAGGAGAGCCATGATCACCTACCAAACGAGCTTGTGTAAATGGATAGAAGAACGGCGTTTGGGGAGGATGATTAAAAGACAAATCTTACTAAGAGATATAAAGGAAAGGAAGTTAAGGAGAGCCATGATCACCTACCAAACGAGCTTGTGTAAATGGATAGAAGAACGACGTTTGGGGAGGAATGATTAAAAGGCAAATCTTACTAAGAGATATAAAGGAAAGGAAGTTAAGGAGAGCCATGATCACCTACCAAACGAGCTTGTGTAAATGGATAGAAGAAAAGACGTTTAGGGAGGAATGATTAAAAGGCAAATCTTACTAAGAGATATAAAGGAAAGGAAGTTAAGGAGAGCCATGATCACCTACCAAACGAGCTTGTGTAAATGGATAGAAGAACGGCGTTTAGGGAGGAATGATTAAAAAGTTTACAAATCTTACTGAGATATAAAGGAAAGGAAGTTAAGGAGAGCCATGATCACCTACCAAACGAGCTTGTGTAAATGGATAGAAGAAAAGACGTTTAGGGAAGGATGATTAAAAGACAAATCTTACTAAGAGATATAAAGGAAAGGAAGTTAAGGAGAGCCATGATCACCTACCAAACGAGCTTGTGTAAGTGGATAGAAGAACGGCGTTTGGGGAAGGATGATTAAAAGACAAATCTTACTAAGAGATATAAAGGAAAGGAAGTTAAGGAGAGCCATGATCACCTACCAAACGAGCTTGTGTAAATGGATAGAAGAAAGACGTTTAGGGAGGAATGATTAAAAGGCAAATCTTACTAAGAGATATAGAGGAAAGGAAGTTAAGGAGAGCCATGATCACCTACCAAACGAGCTTGTGTAAGTGGATAGAAGAACGGCGTTTGGGGAAGGATGATTAAAAGACAAATCTTACTAAGAGATATAAAGGAAAGGAAGTTAAGGAGAGCCATGATCACCTACCAAACGAGCTTGTGTAAGTGGATAGAAGAACGGCGTTTAGGCGAAATCGCAAGAAAACATTTACTAAGATTTACAAAGGACAAGAAATCATGGAGGGCCATGATCACCAACGTTTTGAAAGGGGTATGGTACATAGAAAAAACTAAATTTCTTAATATTCTGATATTTATTTATATAATTTGTGAAATATTATCACCGGAAGTGATACGTATTCAAAAGAAAGTATAGGTAGCAATAGATATTTGATGTAACTCTTAAAAGAAACGAAAGAAAGATAAAACTGGGTCCAGTTGATTGGTGTAGAGACAGAAACAAAATTGAAACGGTTTCATTTTTTTTTTTTCCACGTGGTTATTGACAGGAAAATGAAAAGCGGATCTGAGCCTGGAAACTGAACCACTTTCACTGGTTTCGTTTTTCAAATCGATCGCTGCTGACAGTCTCGATTTGAGGCTCTTCAAAAGGATATATCCTCGAAAGAGAAATAATAGGACTGCAGAGAAAACATACTTTCTATGGCTTTCAGGGACGGAGCTAAGTCATGAAATCTATTTGGCATTTATCTGTGAACCCACAAGAACGGAAAGTCAAATTTAAACATTGGAGTCCTACACATAAAAAAGACAGGTGGGACAAAATGGCTCAGTTCTTTCGTTTGTTCCTTTTTGGAATGTACTTGATTCCAGTGAAAAAACAAACTCTATATCAGGCATGGGCAACCTTTTCCGAATAGAGGGCCGCATAAGTTACAATACATTATAAGACGAACCGCACGACTGAAAGAAATAAGGTACTTTTTTTTTATTAAAGATGCCGCAACCATTTTCCCAATAAAAGCATCTGACTTAGAAATAGGGAAAAGTTGATTTTTTTTCTTTGGAGAAAAGATTCATTGTATAATTAAAAAAATTGAAGTCTGTGTATGACTAATGACAGCGTGATTAACACACATTGCTGGATGCGATTTATTTCTCATGTATTCATTTGAGTTGACAAAAATATTTGTAAAAAAAGAATTATCATCATTGACGTTTCCTGTTTCTGAAGCAAAAAATATTTACACTTATGATCTTCCTTAGTGAAAGTCGTCAATGGTTTAAAATGCTGACAAAGTTACCTTCAACGAAAAGTTACAACATTCAAGAAACATTGTATTTAATCATTGTTTATGCATGAGAGTGTGTGAGTGAACACGCGAGAACGAAAGAAAGCAAACAACATTTTAATAAATATCATTTTTCTCATGAAACTAGGCGTGCCATTCAGATGGCCAATCGGGTCGCATGTGGTTTGCGGGCCGAAGTTTGCCCATGATTGATCTATATACTCCTTAATAAAATGGCGGAAGATGCTGTCTGGTGGGGTGAGCGCCCTGGCACAAGTGTTAACTTTTGTCCGAAAGTGGAGTAAATGTTTCTCCTTATTTTAGATGGGAGAAATTGCCCAGTTCAGGGGATTACAACCCTGTGGAAGCACTTTCCTCAGAAAGGTAGGGTAGGTGTAATATCGATGCCAACGTGACAGTGGTCAGTGGGAATGGGAAAATAGTCCTTGTCCCATATGCATACCTGTGTATGGCGCTCTCCGCGTAATAACGTTTTCTACGGCTTATCAAACCTTTGTAGGTTATTTAAAGTCAGAAAATATTTTTAGATTGTAAAAATTTAAGAGGTGGAGATAATAATGGTTTAGTGGTTCAAGTCTTACTAATTAACCCATAATTGTGAGAAGATGTGGATTCATACCTTTACCAAGGGTATTTGCGCGTAAGCGAATATAATAGAACCTAATGGGAATTGGAACTACTCTCCAATTAACAATTCTGAGCCATTATCCATTACCCCGCCTGCACATCTAAGCTTACAGCAGCTGGTATTCTCAAGTGGTCACTCATCTAGATACTGACCAGGTTCGACGTTGCTTAACTTCGGTGATCGTACGTGAACCACTGTTTCAATGTGATGTGGCCGCAACCTGATATTTTATTTATACAGGCATTTAAAAGATACTGATGGTGATCATTACTTTCTAGATTAACTTACCAGACAGCATGATGTCAAACCAGAAATCGAGTCTATTTTCCATGGGGGTCAATTTATAATTTGTCAACTAACAATATAAATACTTATTCACCTAAAATAAAATCTTCATTTCAAGATAGCGATTAAATAAATAAATATAAACTACTTTTCACATTAGGACGAAGTCATTTTTAAAACAAAGGCAAGTGAATTCTAGCAAGCTATTTTACACTTACATTCAGAGTGCATTGTGTAAATATATCTAAGAGAAAGGTCGGCAACCTTTTGGAGAGTGCGGGCCAAAAATCTATGCAGCGTTTCGGAGGAGGACCATATCAAATGTACTAAATTGTCTCGACCTCAGACCATTCCATCCAGAAGACTGCCTTGGTCTGGCGGCTTAAAGAAAAGACAACGAAGTTAATGTTATATTACTTAAACAAGGTTCTTTATTTTACTGCAGGAAGAACAGGATAAAAACTATTCTTATTTTTAATTACAATTTTAAGTACCTGATTTTCTTACCTAAATAATGTTTTTCAGTTCCTATTAATGTTAAGGAGAAGGAAAACTCTGAATTTAAAACCTGCTCTTAGATGAGGGTGAATGAAGTCTCTCTGAGCCTTGGTTGGCAATCCATTTAGTGATGGTGTCACGATAAAAAACACCCTTGATAGCCCTAGCAAAGCATCAAGAATTCAGCTACTTGACAAGATTATGAACTACACCAATCAAAGTATTGGTGAGTTCAATCTCGGCTGAGGACGCAAGATGATGAATGTTAACTCAAAGTACAACGTTTGAAGTGCTTGCATGTAAAATATTTCAAATAAAGATTTATATTTAATTTTTTTTTTTTTGATATTTAATAGTTAGTAGTGGTGTAACTTTAATTGATGGTTCGTGTTCCATGGTTAATTAGACACTTGTTTTTGCTTATTTTTCGATAACTTCTCCATGTCCGATGAAATATTTGTCGACAACAGAAGCAAAATATCATCTATGTTTTACTTAAACGACTCTTAGTATAGCTCATTTTTCGAAATAACTTGTTCCCAAGCATATGTACTTCCAAATAATGTTACCATCATTTTTGCATTATTCAACAGACATTAATTCCGCTTGGCAAAACATATTTCTTGTAGGAGTCAACAGTGGATTCAGAATTAAATTTTGATTTAAAAAATTCATTGCATTGTCAGTCGATTAACTCCAAGTGATATTTTTCTGCCACAAACGAATCAGATATTTAGTGTCCAGGTGTTAAGCTGGCGGACTGGACAAAAATCCTTGGCGTACCGGGAGTGACCCGAGGGATGCCGGTTGCCAGCCTCTGATGTAAGACAAGAATGAATTCTTATTTTTCTTTAAAAAAAAAAAAAAGACCTTAGTTTTACGGTCAGTCTATTACTTTTGAGCTCCTCAATAACATAGAAGAATTAAATAAATAAATAAATAATAGTCGGAAAAGAGAATAACAAAATACGTTTTTCAATTTCAGCGAATTTTAATCGCCTTGAAAATAACACGATAAAAAAGCAATGGAAACACGGGAAAATAATCCAGAAATGATAAAATTAAAGGAAAAAGAAATAAAATAAAAAAGAAATATGCACAGACAGAAAAGTTAAAACTGACTTTTTTTTTAATCGACAAAAAGCTAAATATAAAAAGAAAAACAAAATGGCTGAATGTACACATGCAGTGAAACGCTGAATAGATAATGTTGAAACTCTCCAAGAATGACGTAAAACCAGAAAGACAAATACGAATATGAATGATAAAATTCTCTCTCGCACACATTTTTATTTATTTATTTCAGTTAATTTTAAAATATTATATCACTAAAGCATGTACGACTGGGTGATGTTTTATTACAGGGAGATACGAAACATGATGCAAGCATCAAATACAACGGCACTCCAATAATGATAGTCAATGGCAGCATGATGTGTCGTTGAATCAAGTTGATAATATCAGTCGCGCTGTCGACTGTGTATGACGAAAGCAGGAAATTAGAAGACATTCAAAACTTAACAAGAACAATCATTTATTTCCAGCTTATACGATATCAGGTTTTATTACACAAGTCAATGTTTTAAGAATAAAATTGATATTAACCAATCAACGTTAAAATTTTCAGGGTAAATGTGCCTTTTAATACTATCTATATATACTGATATCTCATATATCCCATGTATATGAATAAATTATTATTATTTTACATATTGATATGAACTCATTGACATTCTATAACCATCTTCAGTTTTTTATCAATTGATTTTATTATTTTTCTAGCTTTTCAATGACATGAATTAATTATTATTTTACATGTTAATATTGTTCCGTTGACATTCTATAACCTTCAGCAGTCTTTTAGTCCTTGATTAATTCAAACTCTTCTACTGTTTCTACTTCAATAATACTTGCAGCAGTATTTACTGCTCGAAAGATTTTCTTACTGAGCAATTCAATACTTTTTTTAACTTCTTACCATTTTAAATTTCTTCAAATGTGACACTCCGAAAGCTATTTTTTTTTATTTTCATTATTTAGTTCTTTTATCAGGTTTCGGTGGTTGAACAGTCAGGTTTCCTTCTTCCGGTGTCTATCGATCCGGGTAACATTCAGGGAATTTCGAGCTGAACATTCTATTTAACGAGAGTGAGATTGTTCTTGTCTCCTCTTTATTTTTAAGTATTGCTCGCTCTGTTTCCCTTCCCCGTGAGTCTAAGTTCGGCATTCCTTGAACGTTACCCAGAGCGACCTGAAAAAGGTCGAAGGACACAGCGAACAAAATTTTGTGATAATAACAACAAAAATGAAGGCATCAATGAATGTTAATAAAGGATATGATAAGTCCACGTCACAAAAATTAAGAGAGAATTATTATTTTCCTCTTATCTTGCCAATGTTTCCAGTTCATTATTTTATAGTTTTCTTAGTTGACCACAAAGAATAACTGTATGTCTTGTGTCTCTTTTGAGACTATATTTTGTTCCTATGACCTACAACAACTTCAGACCACATCTTTAAATAAATCTGTAAATTCTAAAACTATATATATATATATATATATATATATATATATATATATATATATATATATATATATATGTATGTATGTGCAGATATGTAGAAAAATAGGAAATAACACGTTAGGTAAATAATCCGAAGTTCTTTAGTATTTTTGTTTTTATTTTTAAGAAACAGTGCTCCATACAGAAGTTGAGCTTAAATTATAATTATTTTAAAAAAAATATGAATCCTTCGCTACATAAGAGTTCTCATGTTTCAAAAACAAGAACCGAAAACCTCAATATAATTATCAAAATTAAAATGAATTAAAAGTATCAAGCCTTGTTTCATCCTCAAGCGAAAATTTAGGAATAACCAATCTTGAAATTTACGCATCTTTATAAGCATGTTCATTTGCAAAATTACTTACTATGGAAACGGCTAGAGTGACCATCCTGATAAGCGGCATAAGATATATATATATATATATATATATAACGTATTCAAGGAAGTGACCATTGAAATGCCACCACATTAAGCTGACTTGACACCTTGTGATTTTTTTTCTATGGGGCTATGTGAAAGGACAGGTGTATATCACTCCTCTTTCTACAAGTCTACTTTCTACTTAAGCAGAGAATCACCGAGGCGCTGTAGAAGGTTACGCAAGACATGCTACAGCGTGTTAAACAGTAGCTGGACTACCGACTTGATGTACGTTGAGTCACACGTGGTGGGCATATTGAACATTGGTGAAGCTTTGTGTAAATGGTTATAAAATCTACATCCCTTTGAATATCTTGTTCGAATTCTTAGAAATAAATCTTTTCTTGTTCAGCATAAAGCCTATTTAATTTCGTTTTACTGGGATACAGAGTTACTCAGATATTCACATTTTAAATGATGTCAATTTTGGGGGGGGGGAAACCTCTCTCTCACATATATATATATGTGTGTGTGTGTGTGTGTTTTATACGAATAAAGTGTCGTTGCCGACACTGTAGTTTGAAAACAGATCAGTGAGTAAACCCGGACGATTCCATTATTAAATAAGTAGATCACGTGATCGTAAAGGAAATGTATAAATAGGAATTAGTGTGACGTCTAAGTGATCACTATTCTCTATACAATCCACTATACTATTTATCTATACTGATCATTATATGAATTACTATTCGGCGATTACGATTTGAACAAGTATTATTAGTGCGAGTATTATGTGAAGGCGTTACTACTACCAGTATCTTCATTTACAAAGTCTCATCTCCAACGAGCATTTCGGAAGAGAAAACGAGTATTCGTTGACCTAACGGAAGTTACAACGAGTGAGCATCTAACAACACACACACACACACACACACACACACACATATATATATATATAATGAACAACACTAGTTGCTTAATAAAATCTTACACAATCAAGTAAGTTATTTCTCAAAAAACAAACGTTTAACGTGAAATTCACATGACATATTACGCATATAAACAGAAATATATTCTGAAAACGTTACCAACAACGTTTATTATTAAAGTTATTGTGAAAACAATGATTTGTATAATAAAATTTTATATATTGTATACATTCAAACAAAATTTATGTCAGCAAAATCAAAGTTCACTGCTCATCATATTAGTATGGAAAGTATTTCTAAATAGTTGAGGTTATCGGTATACCGTTTAAATTTTTTAACAAGTTTATATATATATATATATATATATATATATATATATATATATATATATATATATATATGATCTGCGAAAAAACTGTCGCAGTATGGTACCAATAACATTTTTGGTTCTTTTGAATCAAAACCAAAAAGTGCTGATTCATACATGCCAATAAAAAATATTTTCCCAAGATATCTATAATATTTTCTTAAATAGATAGACTTTCAATATTCGTATGGTAATAACTGAAATGAGGAATTTAGATGAAATAATTTAATTTTGTTTTTGTCCTTTATTTTCATATTTTGAAATAATTCTTTTCGATGGGTTTATGAAGGCAATGAAAGTCTATCGCAAACCACCAAAAAGGTACTCAAGTGAAATGATGTCTGATTATTTGTTTCAAACTGATGAAAGAAATAAAAGGTAAAAAAGAAAAAAGAAAACGTCCAGAGAATGAAAGAAAACGGCAAGAAGAGAGAATGGAAGAAAATAAATAGGATGGATAAGAAAATGGCGGGCAATGAAAATGAATGAAGATGGCGAAGGATATTTTAAAATAAGGGAGTAAAACAAAATGGTGGTTGAGATAATGAATGCAAATGGCGAGTGAAAAAAAAATCAAAGAAAATAGCGTACAGCAAGAATAAAAGTGGAAAAAAAAAGAAAATAAAAAATGAAAAAATAGTGGTGTAGCGTAATGAGAGAATAGAAAATGGCGTAGAATGAAAAAAAATAGTATGTGAAAAATAAAGGAAAATAGCGTAATGAGAGAATAGAAAATGGCGTAGAGAGGGAAAGAAAGAAAATGTCTGGAAAAGAAATTGAATGAAAATAGCGAAGAAAGAGTGAGATGAGAGAATGAAAGAAAATGTCTGGAAAAGAAATTGAATGAAAATAGAATGAAAATGAAAAAAATGTCTGGAAAAATTGAATGAAAATAGAATGAAAATAGCGAAGAAAGAAAATGTCTGGAAACGAAATGAATGAAAATGAAGAAAGAATGAAAGAAAATGTCTGGAAAAGAAAATTGAATGAAAATAGCGAAGAAGAGAATGAAAGAAAATGTCTGGAAAAGAAATTGAATGAAAATAGAAAATGTCTGAGAGAATGAAAGAAAATGTCTGAAAATATTGAATGAAAATAGTGAGAAAGAGAGAGATGAAAATGAAAATGTCTGGAAACGAAATTGAATGAAAATAGCGAAGAAAGAGTGAGATGAGAGAATGAAAGAAAATGTCTGGAAACGAAATTGAATGAAAATAGCGAAGAAAGAGTGAGATGAGAGAGAATGAAGAATGAAAGAAAATGTCTGGAAACGAAATTGAATGAAAATAGCGAAGAAAGTGTGAGATGAGAGAATGAAAGAAAATGTCTGGAAACGAAATTGAATGAAAATAGCAAAGAAAAAGCGGGATGAGAGAATGAAAAAAATTGTCTGGAAAAGAAAATGGAAAAATGAATAAAAACAGAATGAAAAAAAATAAAAAAAGAATCAAAATGAAAATCAACTGAAAATAGAACGAAATCTTAGTATTGTCCATGCGGTGTGTTTCTCCAAGAAACCAAAGGATACGATAATATTAGCATTTACTAACACACGAACAATGAAGGGAAAATTTATATTAAAAACAGAAATAATTAAGAATAAAAAATAATGATAATAATTATCACTAATAAGCATCTCAATATTTTAAAACTATTTTGATAAGTCAGTTTCACTTATATGACGTCAATCGACAAGCGCATTCAAGAAAATGTGTTCTCCAGCAGGAATCGAACCTGCGATTGTTTGTATGAGAAACTACAGTTCGATTCGGCATGCTTTACCGCTCTGCCACAGATCGATAGACGCAACGCACACTGTTAAATAAATAAAAATGGGGAATCTATTTCAAATACGAATTGTCCATTATAACGTTTGAGGTAACAGAAACATCGGATTAAAAAATAAATCCACTGACTCATTTGAGGACATATTTTCATATAGACAAAACCAATTTACTCACTAAAAAGATGCAACTTCGTTTCGGTGCATTTATAAATAATAATAATTATTATTATTGCTCCACTATTATAAATAATAATAATAATAATTGCTTTACTATCGGTATTGAGCCCACTTTTGAATTAATGCTGTGAACGCTAAAATTTATATATTATTTTCGTTCTTATTACATTCGTATATATATATATATATATATATATATATATATATATATATATATACACAATTTATTCGAAAAATATAACATAAATATGTTATAAAATCACTACAAAAATAGCCATTTTGTTTCAACACAAGTGATGGTGTTGAATGTAGAATAAAGGGTTTTAAAAGGTGCAAATTGACCAAACACCCCTCGATAGGGAAAACATTGTTGCATAAGCTGAAATGATCAGTCAAAAAATACAAGTAGATGAGAATTCAAAAACCTTGGCAACGAACCTTGATTATAATAATTAATGCCTTAATGTTAGGGTTTGACTAAAATAGAAATCATTCTAATTAATATTAAATTTTACTATAAAATTGAAAATTACCAATTTTAAATTTAATCTGTATTAAGTTTAAAATATAAACTTAATTAAAGAAACTGAGGAAAAAGTACATATATTTTATTATTTATTTTGTCTTAATTGAAAGGCCAAAATCTCAGAATAAACGTTAATCTTTGTAACAACTTAGATACATTTGAAGTGATGATATGGACAGGGGGGGATGAAATCTTGCAAAAGACAATACATACACAATCAGATTATAATATATAAACACGCAAAGACATAAATGAAACAAGAAATAGATGTCCACGACCCTCCATACACACACAAAAAAACAAACAACATATACATACAGTATATGTATGTGTATGTATATTTATGTATGTATGTATCTCTGTATATTTATATATATATATGTGTGTATGTATATTTATGTATGTATCTATTTGTAGTGATGCATGTGTGTGCACATACGTATGTATGTAATTTTTATATATATATATTGTTATATATTTGTACTCGTGTATGTGTACTCATGCGTACATAAGTACAGTGTAACCCGGATATAAGATAAACCCGGATAAAAGAGAGATTTTCTCTGGTCCCAAATTAGAGCCTGTGTTAATGTATATAAATTAGACCCAACCCGGGTATAAGAAAAACCCGGATATAAGAGACTTCTTCTCAGGTCCCGACAACTCTCTTATATCCGAGTTACACTATGATATATTTATGTATATTTGTGTGTTTATGTGTTTTCTTTTTTATATATTACCTGGTTTTATTTTAAGTATTGCATTTTGCCTGGACATTTGAATTGGTGTTTTGTTTTATGTGTGCGTGTGTATTTATTTTTCTATTCATTTTTATATATATTATTTCCGAATATTTGTTTTCCTATTCTACCCCTCTTAAATTTTATCTATTGAACCCTCTTTTTATGATTTTTATCTATATATCTTTACCCATGTAAGTAATATTTTAATAGTCTGTTTGAATTCGTTTACTAACACTTTCAAACTTGAATCTTTGTAAGTGTATATATGTGTGTGTGTTTTTATTGTATGTGTGTATCATCGCTTATATATGCCTTTCATTGAATGTATATGTTGCCTGATTTTTTTTTGGGGGGGGTCGTGGACATCTATTTCTTGTTTCATTTATGTCTTTGCGTGTTTATATATTGTAATCTGATTGTGTATGTATTGTCTTTTGCAAGATTTCATCCCCCCCCTGTCCATATCATCACTTCAAATGTATCTAAGTTGTTACAAAGATTAACGTTTATTCTGAGATTTTGGCCTTTCAATTAAAACAAAATAAATAATAAAATATATGTACTTTTTCCTCAGCTTCTTCTTTAAATAATTTTATAATATTTTAAACTTAATACAGATTAAAATTAAAATCTAAAAGTGGTAATTTTTAATTTTCAATTTCATAATAAAATTTAATATTAATTAGAATGATTTTTTTAGTCTAACCGTAACATTAAGGCATTAATTATTATAACCAAGGTTCGTTGTCAAGTTCTTTGAATTCTCATATACTTGTATTTTGATTGGTCATTGCAGGTTATTTAACAATGTTTCCCCTATCGAGGGGTGTTTGTTCGTTTTGAACCTTTTAAAACTCTTTATTCCACATTCAGCAACATCACTTGATAAGACACCAGAAGTGTTGAAATAAAATGGCTATTTTTGTAGTGATTTTATAACATATTTATGCTATTATTTTCGAATAAATTATATTTGCTCTACTCTGTATTGAGCACTCTTTTAAGAATAGTATTATTTTGGTTATTGGAATTTATTCCGTATACACCAATCCTATACTTGGGTGTGTGTGTGTGTACATATATATATATATATACAATTCTTCCCATAATTAAATATGTCTGCCATGGAGAATTCTGGCTGTCGTAGCGTATTTTATTGAGAATAAGAATTTTTCCTCGGGACAAAAATGAGAGAGTAAATAAATTTTAAAACTTTTCAGTTAATCAAAATTAAATATTGAATTGCGTAAACCAGACTCTTTAATTATCATCATCACTATTTTGCATAATGTCACCATGTTGATAATAAGTTTGATACCAATCTGTCATAACTGACAAGAGATATAGCAGCAATGGATGTTCTGTCAGTTAAAAAAAATTACCTTTTATGTGAATATCTTCGTTTGTACAAGTCAGAGTTTTAAAGACAGTTTGTTTTTTTTTCACGAGTAGATTGATGTTGAAAAACGTCAATGAACTTGTAAGTGTTACTCAAGGATTACATAAATTGCATTAATTTATTTCTTAACTTCAGCGTGGAAATTTGCTTCCCTGCTTCTTAGTTTGCGGTGCACGGCTGTTTTACTTCACAGGTTCTGTGATTTCAGGACATCTTATTAATAATCGGCAATACGCTTTGGCCTATCAAGAGGGTGTTTTCTGTATTGAGCCATTCGCATCCAGACTCTTAACTGAAACTTTTGAAGACCATTTTTATCAAATCTGTGCAGCGTTCTTTGCGTAAACAAAAATGGTTGTCTCAATATGATCAGCTTATAATATAGATACGTTTGTATATTATTAATATGTGTATTTCTTATCGACAATATATAAATTTTCATTCGACCCCACTCGACTCTTTAATCATGGGCCGATGAGCTCTGAAGAGAAAGGAACGACAACCGGTCAGTTTTTCTATCTTGTTTCCAGTTGCCACTTTTTCCTTTTTCTCCATTTTCCTTTTATTTTAATGGATATCTGTTTTTATAGCAATAATTATTTCTTCTAAGTACAACTAGCCTTACATAAATGGTTGCTGATGTTGGTTCTGTTCATACGTTTTCCGCCTCTGACTTGTTGAGCAACATGAAAATGGTGAGGGCCATAATCTATTGCTGAATACATGGATGTGCTAATTATAGTTCGTGATGAAAGCTAATAGACAACGAAAGATCTCAGAATTCCCAGACTGTGTAACCGGTAGTTCTCCACATTCTCATAGTTTCATGTACACATTTAAAGACCAACTATATTATTATTATATATTAGAGTGGATCAAAAGTATTTTCATAGACCTTTACTCTAAAGCTTATTTCATGTACACGGTTTATGACAATCTATGACTACTATATTATTAATGTAACATACATGAAGTAATGAATATTATTATTATATTAGAGTAGATCAATTGTATTTTCATAGACCTTTACTCTAAAGCTTATTTCATGTGCACATCTGAAGATAATGTATGACAGTATTATATTATTATTATTAGAGTGGATCGAACTATTGTTATAGACCTTTAATCTAAAGTTTACTTTATATACACATCTAAAGAATTACTATGACTACTATGTTATTTTTAATATTTTATATTAGGATAGATTAAATATATTTTTGTCTGATGCTTTAAAATCGAAGGCAGACAACCAACCTTCGAAATTTTTACAAGAGCTCGAATTGTCAAAAGATAGGAAAGGCAGTACCTTTCCAAAAACGAACAAAGATTCCAGCAAGGTAACAAAAGTAAAACAAATAAAATACCTTTGATGAACCTCACTACCTGTATGCAGTCTTTATTATTTAGGACATATAGATTATATTCAGGTTAGTATTTGATGACTGCATACTACTGGAGACAAATATTTGAAATTCTGAAGTCATATTTTTAATTTCATTTTTTCTTTCCTTCCCGGTTTTTGATTTTAGTCTCTTTTGTTGTTCGCATTGGTTTCGCTTTATCCTTTTGGCAACATTTGTTTAGAATTGTTGATGGTAAGCAACGGAGTAATGGGAAGAGGTGACGTGTGTGAGAAAACAGATTGCTACTAATCAGAGAGATTTAATAAAACATCTCTCTTTCTTAACGAGCTGATAAAAATAAAACGTCAAATTTAATCAAAGTTGTTCACTTAATCGTAGCTTCAGGTGCGCTAACAAATGTAAAGAAATTTAAAAAAAAATACCAGTTTGAATAGAAGCGTTGAAATGTACTTGCACAGAAAAGTAGGTATAGATGAATATATGCATTTCTCTTGACTATAT